CCCCAAAACCCCAAAACCCCAAAACCCCAAGCAGGTGACGTCACTGGTACTATTAGTAATCAACGTTTAACATGAGAATTAGGTGAAATTAAGGAATCTCGAAATACCCAAAAAACAGCCAAGGAGGCATCTTAGAGATGTATTAAATATAATTTAGGTGTAGGAGCCTGGTGGAAGAAGAGATTGAGCATGGAAGATGAACGAAGGATTTTTGGAGGGCCTATGATTTCAGAGATGGATTTTTGGGGATGTTGAGGGTTTTTAACTGGATCTTTCATTCGGTGAAACTGTAAGGGAAGAATTGATGTGAGAGAAGTAGATACTTAAAGTTTTAGAAGATTTGTCTGCTTTTTCTATGAGGTATGTGCAAAGTCTCCCTAAGCTTATTGAGAAGTAAGGATGGCTCATTGTCATCATTTACTAAATTGGGGTAAACTCTTGCTAAAATTTTACCATTATATAGTAAAACTATAATACAGAGCGATAAACTCATACTTTTTGAGTAAACTTTACCAAGTACCAATTCCAAGATTCCTATCTTTACTGTCAACTGTTAAAACTCTTCTTTAGCATTGGTCATATAACTAGCTCATGGTTTGATCCCTTCCATAAATATATTCTCTTCTTCCGTTATTACAACAGATTCATGAACCAAAGAATCTTCTCTGGCCGAAGCAAGCTTTGGTCATAACTTCTTCTTCAGTTGTTTCTAGCTGATAAGTTATCTTTGTCACACAGGAAGTCTCTCTGGCACTTCTGAAGGTATGAAGCCTAGATTGAGTCAGTAAATTAAAAAGAGATTTATCGCAAAAAGCCGGTTTATTCTTAGGTCAAGGAATCCAAAATTCTTACTTCGCTTAGCATCGGGCCTTCGTTGGAGCGACCTAGGGGTAGTCTCTAGATCAGCTTCAGCTTTTGTTTAGCCTGCTTAGGAGTTCTCTAGCTCATGAATTACATACTGACTGTTAACAATAAAAGAAGGATTTTATGAACAAGTTTTAGAGGATAATATCAGAAAATGTTAATGAAATGGACAAAGCATACAGGCTTGAAAGCAATCAATATGACTTTGAGGAGGACTTCCAGTCGCTTAATTTAGCTTAAGCTGATAGATCTAGCACCTTATCTTAAGCATTGGCCCAAGAATGAAAACAAGAACTCAAGTATCGAATGAGAAATGACATGAAACAAATTCCCAATAAGAAGAAAGCCAATTGATCAATGAATTTTATAATAATGTGTGATAATTTCAAAAGTTGATGCATGAGAGTTAAATGCAGCATCCGCTCCTCAATGACTAATAACTGAATACTTTATACATTTTGAAGTAGAGCAAACAGTGAAATCTCAAGGAGAGATGCATACCCATAAATGATATATTTCAAATAACGTGTAAAAACCTTCAACCCCAAATGCTATGTAAAAAGCTTCTCATCAATATTATTGGCAAAATTTTTATTATTACTCTATTTATAAACTACTAAGGCATCTCTTTACAGCCGATAAATCAAGAATTTACGATATAGCTCTAAACTTACATTTGAAAATTATTTGATTCAATCGGATGTTCTTTCTGGTAAATTTTGAGTAATAATACTCATTAATATACAGTTTTATTTGAACCTATAATTTTACTAAATAATTATAAACATGCTCTTTGACCTTATCCAGTATTATACATAATAACCTGAACTATAACAATGGAAGAGATATAAAAATATTACCATTTTGAGATGCCAATAACATAACAATTTAACCTCTGATCCAACAATCATTCAAAAATATCCTTACCCTTACCACAATCGAAGGTCAAACGAGCACATAAAAATCCTCCCAAGACCCCAAAAATTCCCAAAACTTCACTTCCATGACACCTTCCTACACTTCCGACCCTCCACCTAATCCTCTCTCTTCACCCTAAAACCCCACTCATCCACCAGACCTCTGCTCTCACCAGTAATTCTCACTTCCTTAACCCCTGACTGTAGCCCACTGGATCTGTGCCAGTGGGCTTCTTCATGATGTTAAAGAAGTGCGATTTTAGGTGGAAGGTTTTGGAGTGGATAGTAGGATTAGGATAGGGGTTTTGAGGGGCTTAGAGCAGAAGTTTGGGAATTGTGGTGGGGGAGGGGGTTGGAAGAGGGGAGGGGAGGGAGGTACTCTTCTCAAGTCCCTTTTCTCTCTCAAAACCCACCTTAATCCCACTCTTCCACAAAAGTAACGAGCCTTCCTAAAGCTCACTACGAATCCAAATCTTAACTTTAACGTTCAAAATCCTTCATGCTCAATAATCTCGAGTTATAATTTAGCAACAAAGCTGAGAAGCATTTTGAGCCCCCAGCTAGTGAGCAACTACAGCTCAACAGAGAACTGAGGGTGGGCAGTAGACAGAAGAGGAAAATAAAGAGCTTTTAAGATCATATTGTTCCCAGAACCATACTGAGAGGATGCACAATGTAAAGAATAATTAAAGAGAAAGAAAGAGAGGGTTAGATGAAGTTGGAAGATAAATTATTAGGACTGCCTCTTTTTGTACACGCCGTATTTCTTCTTGTATTCTTCTGGATGAAATTTTCTGATGTGAGTCTATCATTATTGGGTTATTGACAAGACTTTAATGTTTGTAAAAACCCAAGATTCTCATAATCTCGTAACAACTCGGAATACTCACCTTGAGATTGTATTTCTCTGTGTACCATTTGGCTCAGTGTAGTCATTGATGGCTTCTCCTTGCCTCTACTTCAGGTTTTTGGTGCAAAAGCATGTGCTTGTCAAGGTTGCCTTTTTGGGTGTAGTGTCTGCTGCAAAATGGGCACTGGTAAGGTTTTTCACCTTCGTGCATACGAACGTGATCGAGGATGCTCCAGGTGCGAGTGAACTCTTTATTACAGTTATCGTACTTGCAGACATAAACAGTAGAAATAGAACCCCTAAAGTTGGTTCTTTTCTCCACTTTACACTTGTAATTTTTAAGTAGACTCTTTTTAAGTGTGAATTTCTCAATTTTTGAAGTTAAAGAATTTGGAACCTCTTGTACCCTGCACATTCTATTTGCATAGATATTTGTATAAGAGTTTGAGTCTCCCTTATATGCTCCAATCTGTGCTGAAATGGCTCGATGATTGCCATATTGAGTCTCTCTTGAAGAAGGTATACCCCAATTCATATGTTCTACATGATTTGGAAATCCTATTAAATATTAATATTCAAGTTTGGATAAAGTAGCTTGCATCTTTTTGCACATATTTTACAAGATGATGATGATTTTATAATTTAGGAGCAGACATCTACTAACACCCGATCAATAATTTCGGCTAACACTTTTACTAAGTAAGTGAAATTAGGCATATTTTGTTTCTTAAAGTAAATATAATTACCAGAACTAGTGTTGGCGTATTCTCAAGTTCAGTAATCAGCTAGCATTGTGAACGGGTTAGCACATGGAATCTCTTCAGTTTGAGTATACCAAACGCATATCTGATTTAGAGGAGGGAGACTTTCCTTCATCTCCATTGCTGGGAAGACCTAAAATGCATAAAATTGTCTTTCTAATAGATAATAACTTACATTATATCTGTGAAGCATGTTCATAAAATGATGTTGATAACGTAAAATTATAATTGTAATCTTCAACGCAATTTATATATTTCGGGGTTTTGGGGTTTTGGGGTTTTGGGG